TGATGTTTGCTTTTATAATGCTGAAATATGAAACTGCGCGCGTCTAATAATAGGGTCGACTTTGAAATGCATACGAGACGAGGGCCAACTGCAATGCTTTAAGCGGGGGCGTTAACTTTGCCGCAATATCTAGAGCTAAGGCGATCTGCACTCTATATAGATATATATATATATCTCAGTGTGTGTGTGTTCGAGTTATGCATTTGTTGTTGCCTGCTTGACATTTATGTGAACCCAAGCAACAATAACACGTTGTCTTGTGCCTGGGCTTAGACTCTTGTCTGAGCCGCGCGCGCAGAACGTTCGACTCGCAGCGACCGCGACACGACACCGTGGGCTCAACCAAGATAGTTTTTTTCCTTTTGAATACTCTAACATTTGGTACAGGCAATATGCGTCACAGTTTGAAACTGCTAAGAGTAACATAGATAATAAGGTAGAGGATTTCCGACCTAAGGAAAAATCCTATTTCAGTTTCGATTTGTAGTTGTCATGCTCATTGAATATTATATATTTTTATTCTATTTTTATAAATATTTTAGCTGGAGCCATGCCAACCTCTAGCCCTCTGCCCTACTTTACTGATAATATTGCATTAGTGAAATCATTTAGTTCTTTATCTGCATTAGCCCATTCAGCCTTAATCCTAGAGCATACAAATGTCAACAGTACAAAGTTAAAATGTTTCCGTTTTCGTTTTTTGGTTTTCTGAGTTCGAGTTGGAGTTCGAGTCATGAATCTTATGACGCCTACGTGTACTTTTGGCATTTGGCATGTCAAATACAATAAGTACGAGCGCGACTATACGACTATGACGGCCTGATGGCGAGGCGACGAGTAAGAGTACAAGTAAGTACTTGGCCCGACCGAACACCCTGAGCACCGAAGATGGAGATACTACAAGCCAAGACAAACAAGCCAGCAAATGGCTCTGAAGATTGTGACGAGAGAGCCAGAGGGGGCGGCTAACAGTTCCGCGTTGCTTGCCGTTTTTTCTACTATTTTTTTTGACAGCTTTGTTCAGAGGTTCAGCAGCGAGCTTGTTGTAGAGCTTGTGTCTTGGGAAACATTCCTGAATGTCATCACACGCACACAAAGCCACAACTGCAAAAAAATGAGAAAAAACTAATTCGGGCCATTTAGGGCAGAGGCAAGTTCAAAGCTTAAGCTTTCAAGTGCCTCACCAAGCAGCATTCAGTTTGGGAAATTACAGTATTACATTTTGATTAAGTACACTACAATTCACATGATAGATAAGTGAGACTAATGGCCAAACGAGAGAAATACGATTTCAAATAGTAAAAACGAGTTCAACAACAGGTTGAAGTCAACAGCTCTGTAAATTTGTGAATATTGAATTCGACTTGAATATTGAGCGCAATTTGCATGAGAGAGAAGTTCAGGGTTCGAATCATACATTAGATTTAGCATTTTAAAATGATTAATATGGTCGTGTTAGGCATTGAACAGTCAAGTAATTTGCATCAGAGACATTAACTAAGTGAACAAATTTGAGAATCTCAGAGTTCGCATCATAAAGAATAAATTAAGATGGCATGAGAAGCTATAAAGTATTTAGAATATATTTTAATGATGACAATTTTACCATAAAAAATAAATAGTATTTATACTTTAAAAGAATTTTATTACTTATCGCATTTATATGTCCCATTTAAAAGCTGACTTTCCTCTGGGACTTACACTTACGATAATTACAATTATATATATATGTTATATATAAATATCACAGAGATATTTCATGTTAACCTTCTTCCTCTTCTTTAAAGAAACAAACATTTTTAATGAAATTCAAGCAGATGAATCTACAGTGAGTTCTCTAATAATGCATACTAACTAAATAAGCATAGAAGTACGTATTAAGATAAATATCTTTTAATTTATCTCATGGATATTCAATAATTGATGTAAACATTCTTAGACTTCACATTCCATATTGATGTACATTTTTATCCGCGATCTATGCCACTTATCTGAGGCAGCGACCTGCTGTCTTAGTACACTTAATCAAAGCAAGGCACGAAAACAAATTCTAAAGAGAAAGAAAGAGAGAGAGAGAGAGACAGAGAGAGAAGCTGGACTCAATGGCAATGGCAATGGCAATGGCTGCAGCTGCTGTGATCACGCATAGAAATTATTATTGTGCCTTAATATAGCCATAAATCAGCGCATTTAAAATGCAAAAATCAACCTAAAAATATTTATGTATATATGTACGTAGGAAAAATATCGCATCCTGCTGGATAGAGCCGCAGCTTGGGGTGCAGCAGCTGTTGGTCAAGTTTGCCTTTGGTTTATAACTTCATCTGCATTTGAAGCTGCACCGGGGCGATAATAAACCGTCGCATTGAGCCACCCATGCGTGGTTGCGCTCAGCCACTCGGACTCGAGATCTTTTCAACTTATGGCTATATCTAACCTGCGTGTGTGTGTGTGTGTGTGTGTGTATGAGCAAAGTCTGAGCAATATCAATAACACTTGCCAGTCGCTCTTTGCAACATGATGCGACAAGCAGCGAGTCCAGCTACAGCTTTGACTGAACTGCAGCCAATGTCACTGAACCAGTTCTCAATGTCTTCATATATATACTATATATACATATATATATATATATATATATATATATATAGATATGTATATATAGATATATATTGTATTGCCCAGCAACCTCTGCACTAAATATTTACAACCTCCGCAATATCTCAAATGCACAGAGAGACAGAGGAGCCGCAGCGACAAAGTTGCTTCTAACATAGAGGGACAAGTTGCATGCAACATGCATGCACCGATGCATGGATGCATGCATGCATGCCACAAAAGGTGTAAGTCTTTGAGGCAACTGGCCAAGTGTCGTTGTGGCCATAAATTCAATTGAATATTACGCCAATTGGCTTTTTGTCTATCGCAAAAATGGGGCGGAGCAAGCGAAAAAAGTCAAGAGGGGATTTGTTGTGCGAGTGTGCGTGTGTGTATGATAGTTAAACTGGTTCGCAAACATATCAGCAAATGTCGTTTTTGAACTGTGTGTAAGCAGATTTCAATGGACCGGGTGGTAAGCGGCTTTTGGGCCTCGCTAATTAGGCGACTATCAACTGGCAGAGGCCGATGCAGAGGTAGATGAGGAAAAGGAGAAGCAGAAGGAGGAGGAGCTGACAGAAGGTGGCTGAAGATGTGGCCATGTTAGCGGCTAATATGCATCAAAATGTGTCAACACCTAAAGCTCCAGCTTCATGTTAATTGTTAACGCTATTTTTTTTTATTTTGCAGGCAGACAGACGGGCGGACGAGCGAAAGGACGGACGAACGGCCAGTGTTGTTGAGGTAGGCTGTGGCTGACTGGTCGTAGCAGAGGCTGTGGCCGTGTTTTCACCTCCATTAACGCGTGTAGCAGGATCTGTAGACTGGCTCTGGCTATGGCATGGCTATGGATGTGGCTCTCTGACTGTGGCTTTAATGACGCCTGACGTTGACCGATCGTCGACCGCAAGCGGCTGACCGATCAAAAGTCGTTCAACTTGCCGGAACTGGTCGTAAAAGATCACCTAGGCCACAACAACATCGAGCTATGTGGAGCAACCAGAGCAACTAGCTTGGACACACAGACAGACAGCTAGAGCGAGACAGAGCTCTTGGCTGAGATGCCACAGCCACTTGGCCGCATTCGCAGCTTTATTACAACAGCAACAAGAATCAAGCGGCAGCAGCAGAGGCGATGCTCGCGTGGCACACACAATATTAATGGCCGCCAATGGAGTTCAAATCCCGCTGCACATGCTCCCCATACAAAACCCGAGTCCCAGTTCCAGTCCTCTTGAGTCCCAGTGCCAAGTTCAAACGCATAGTTAATCTTGCGGCATGCCAATGGGTCTGACAGGAAGCTGGGAAGCTAGGCAAAAGCAATGCGAACGCAGACTGAAGACTCTTGTAGAAGTGCGAACTGACATTGGGTAAATGAACTTTGACAGTAATGGGACCATAGGATAGATGATATAGGTTATATTTTGTATGAGATACAATTCGAGCGCTGAAGATCTGATGTTGATCTAGATGCCAGAATAACAAATGCAGCCGAGGAGACAGAGGCAAGAGCGGGTGCAAAAAGATGTTGAAGGCATAGATCTTTAGGAGATGGGTGGGGAATGAGCTAAGTCGAAGAGTGAGTTAGGTGTGTTTAGGCTCTAGCAGAATGAGTTATGAAACATCAGAGGTTTCTTAACTAATTTCCCAAAAAAATCTAGCTACTTATCTTCAGTCGTTGCTCAACGCACAGATGATATAGGAACAGCTGCGATTGAGTTCATTTCTAGCTAAAACTGATTGGAGTTCTCAATGCGTATTTTGATAATTCTTTTAATTTCTTTTCGGACAACTTTATCTTATCTTTTCGAGCGTTTGCAGTCCTTTCATATTGGTTTACTATCTGGGCCCCTGCTACGCTTTACAGCGATAAGTTTAGTCTTAAAATGCTCTACAATTCCAATGTTGCTGTCTCTTACTATCAAGATACTTTATACACAGGTAGCTTGAACTAAAAAGTAGTTGAAAATTTAAACGAAAATACGTTTAAAGTTATTTTGCAATAGTTTGTAGAATTTGCTTTAAGCTAGAGCCTGTTTCAATTTGTCTCAAAATTCTGTTGATTAGTTTTAAAGTTTTGAAGATTTGCTGATTGGTTATACACTTTGGCTGCATGGTAATTGGTCTCCCTGTCTCTCTCTCTCTTCCTTACTCTTTGGTGCTGCCTCCCTTCGTCTCTTTCGAATTCTCTCTACCTTTGAGTCGCTATCTTAATCGAGCGTGGGCTTGCATCTAGATAACAAACAAACTGTGCTCCATAAACATTAATTAGGAGTCGGATCGAGAGGGTTGTGGGGTTGCTGGCAATTTAAAGCAATTTGCATGTGGCTACGAAACCGTAGCCCAGCCAAAGAATTGCGCTCAAGCTGGTTTTTCTATAAAGTGGTCGAAATGTTGGTGCTTACCTGTACGTATTCGGCGCATATATCAATTCCACCCACAAAGGTGCAGACATCGTCCACAGACCAGGAGTTCACCTCCTCGCTTTGCGCCTGACACTGACGCACTGTGCCCGCTGGCGATGTTGCTCCTGCTGCTGTTGCAGCAGCAACTGTTGCTGTTGCGTTGGCGTTTGCGTTGCTTTGGCCCTCGGCTATATTCAGTGTTGGCTTCTGCTCTATAAGTGGCGGGGAAGGTGTGCTAGATGTTGTTGTTGCAGTTGCAACAGTTGCTGCTGCTGTTATTGTTGCTGCTGCTGTGGATGATTCAGCCTTAAAACGTTTGGCAGCTGGCGGCTGAGAACTCAAGTCCAGAGGCGCCGCCGCCGCTGCCGTTGCAACATTTGCAGCCTCCGCATTGCAACGTGGACTAGACTGACGCGAGGCGTGATGCGATTGTTGCTGCTGCTGCTGCAGTTGAGCCGAGTAGATTAAAGCGGGTGTAACAAATTGCGCCGCTTGCTGCAGCGCGGCATTTAAACTGGGACGTGGCGTGCTCGATGCGCTGGCACTGGGCGATGAAGCATTCGAGCTGCTGCCTTTTATCTGCAACTGTTGCTGCTGCTGCTGTTGTTGCTTGCCGCGCAATATCTGCTGTATCTCAGCATCTTTGGCAGCACGCGCCTGCAAGAGACGGAGAGAGACAGAGAGAGAGAGAGTTGGTAAGGAAGGTGCGCAGCAACAGATCTTTTCTTTTTGTTCGTGTGGTTGTTGTTGTCCAACTTACCAGCGTTAACAGCGCCTGGGTGCTGCTCATGTCCATCATTGGAAAAATGCCACCCGAGAAGGGCAAAAAGTTGCTCATGAATGGCGAAACGCTGGCGGCGGCCACCACGGCGGCCATTTGGCTCTTGGCCTGCTCTGTGGGTGACTGTGCCGCAGCCAGTGGCAGACTATTGCTGCCAGCTACAGTGGAGCCCACGCCAAGAGGCACGCCCGCTATGGAGCCACTGCCACCACCAGCCGACAACGTTGTAGCGCAATCCTTGACCTCCCTCAAGCTGGATGCGATTGCTGGCGAGTGCTTTTTGCTTGAATTGCTGGTGTTGCTGTTGCTGATGTTGCCGCTGTTGTTGTTGCTGCTGCTAAGGTTGCTGCTAGTGCTGTTGACATTGCTCGTCTTGGCGCCGCTGCGCTCCGTACCACCAGTTGAAGCGGCGGCAGCAGCAACAACACCAGCGCTGCTGCTGCCACTGCTGTCGTAGTACGAATTGCGACGGGTTGCATGATGGCTGTTGGTATAAGCAAAAGAAGATCAAAAGTTGTCCAATAAAAGATGCATTAATTTATAATTAATTAATTATTTATTAATTATTAATTAATTTAAAATCAATATTTCTTGAACTACTTTGCAAATTATTGAAACGTTGACACAAGTTTAAAATAACTGATGAATAAAAATTAATATTCATCATTAAAATTCATGATATCTTTTTGAACAGACCTCGCATAATGATTGAGAAATAATCAATCTCTTTCTTCTCCAAGTTTTCTGTAAGTTCTCAACTAGAAGTTAAGCCTCAAATCGAGTATGATAAGCGTTACATCATTAGCTGCTGCCATACAGAACACATTTATATAACTAATGCAAATATGTAACAAAGTAAAGTATATTATATTTGCTAAAGATCAATTTGAATACTTGATCAAAATATTTGGCTATGCTAAACGTATGCTAAATAGCTGTCTAATTCTTAAGCATAATTCATAGATAGAGAAACTTCCCATTGTAAATTTATCTCAAGTCCAATTTGCATTTATATTTTTATATTTATAAATATCAAACTATGACTCAACTTTCTTGAAATTTGATCTACGAATTGGAGCTAACGAATTTTCAATAAATAGCAATTTATATGCTTTTTTTTAAAAAGCAAACTAGAGAGAAGCGGGAGAGGTATACAATTAAAAAATACACAAAATAAGAACTTACAAAGTAAATTTAAATCTGAATTGTAAAGAAATATCAAATCAAATTATCGATTATTATCGATAGCTAGTGAATCGCATCGAGAAAAAAACAATTAGTGTATAAGAATATTAATTTAAAAATTCAAGTCAGTTAGTCAGTAAGGATGGTCGGACGTACGAATTTGGCTAGATTGATTCATTTCGTTGCCTTGGTCAGTATAAACATATTGCATTATATGGGCCACGCCTTCCTCTGCCAGTCTTATGACACCTTTATACCCTGCATTCCCATTTTCAATGGGCATAGGGGGTCTATATATAGCTATACATATTGGTTAGCTTTTCCATATCTATATATCTCCTATCTTTTTGTAAGTATATATTATAATAGAGCTATATTGCTTAAAGCGATATCAAACTTTATACACTGCACTTACTCATTGAGATTGGCATTGTTGTATTTGGCTGCGAGGCAGCGCATGATATCCGAATAGTTGCGCGTGGAGAAATCCGTGGCATTTGTTGTTGGGGCACTTGTTGTTGCCCCCACTGGGCTGTTGACAGCGCTGCCGGCGCCGCTGCCTACGGAGATGTTGTTGTTGTTGTTGACGCTGCTGTTGCTGTTGCGTTGACTGTTAATGTTGTTGCTGTTGCTATTGTTGTTGTTGCTGGCGGCGGCTGCCGCTGCTGCTTGTTGAAAACTGTTCAACAGATTTGTGGACAAATTGTGCAGGGGCATGTGGGTCTGTGAGCTGGGCGGGCTCAAACGCTGTTGTTGTTGTTGCTGCTGCTGCTGCTGCTGTTGCTGCTGAATGGGCGAAATGCTGCCACCGCCGCCGCCGCCACTGCGATATGTTGCGGACGAGGGCGTGGCGCTACGAGATCTGCAAAATATAGAAGAAGGAAAAATCATTTAAATATTTAAATACAAGTTAAGGCGCAGCCTTAGACATGATATAAAAATAGAAGCATAAATATAAATTGCCATAAATTGGGATTAAATATTTAATTAATTGTGTTCACTCTAGAAGTTATCTAAAGGCCCGTCGTGCCATTTGACATGCTAATAAGCAGCTTCCGTGAGAAGATCGGGCGACCGGCGATCGGCGATCGAGTGGACCACACTAAACCGTTTTGATCCGTGTTGACATCTGATATTTCTCGTTACTTTAGCAGCGAACCGAGACTCGTTTGCGAAAGATATTTAATGCGATTACGACTTACGTTGAGTTATGGCGAAACAACAAAGTTGGCATGGGAAACGCCATCCTGAAGAAGCGAAATACAGCTTTTCCGGCAAATCTACAGTGAGCACTGCCTGCAAAGTTCACTTGGAATTGCGCGGGGGAGCGTGCAAATTGTTTGACTTGATCTTAATACGATTTACTGCTATTATTTTTATAATTGAAAACTCAACAGTTTCAGTTGCAATCTTTTACAAGCGCGCTGAAAGCACGTCAAGCTAAGAGTTGCCAGACGGTTTTTCTCTCTGTGTATCATGCTGTCAGCTTCGATTGTTTTGCTTTTGAGTAATTAGCGATAAGTTGAAGTTGATTTTGTTTTGGTCTAAAAAAATTGCTTTTGCCTTTAAACTTAAAAAAGTATTTAATTTCATTATCTATCAAAATGTTAGTTTATATTCATGAATTTCGATAAAAATGCGTTAAAAGTCTTCGGTAATTTAATGGTTAGTTGGAATTTATAAACGACCCTGCCTATGTCTTCATTCGAAAAATTCTAGGAAATTATGAAGTCTTTGTTCGAAACAAAATACGTGCATTTATGCAGAATATAAGATAAACGTATTTATGTTATTAATTTTTGTAAATAGTAAACATTAATTAGTTAAAACATTGTATTAAATTTTCTTTATATATTTTATTCTTTCCCAAAGAGAAAACTTTGCCGCTATACGCCCCCGTTCCCCATAATTGGTATACTGTATAAAACAGTTCATCATAGTCTAAACGTAACAGTAACTGTATAAGACTAATATCTCTAACACATATCTATATCCGAACTTTACTAGATAAAGTTTTATAAACAATTTATTTATGTCAAAAAATTTACTATATAAGAGTTATTTTCTTCACGAATAACACTTCTCCATACTAAAATAGCAAATGCTTAAAATGCAAAGCAAATGCCAAAAAATCTATATTACTAAATACATTTAAAAAAAATATATATAAATTTAGATTGGATTTTTTTTTCAATTTTAACTTAATGTTTTAATACATATTATTTGTCTTGAGCCTTTTCTTTATATATGTATATATATGTATTAATTTATATATATATTTAAGTCGTATACAGTTGTATAGATATTTACAACAAGCTCTTAACATGGCCATAACTCAAACATGCCACCAACATGGTCCCAGTTCCAGCCCCATTTCGCAGTTGCAGTTGCAGTTGGCAGGAGCTACCACGAGCCATGGCTAATAATCAGCATTGGGTCAGCTAGGCAGCAAACACACTACACGCCCACCTGCCCCCACCAGGCCAATGTTTTGGGTGCAGCTGCAAGTGCTTCTTAGCCGGGACGCGCTTGCAAGTGAACAAGGTTCAGCTGAGACGGGTCGCGGGCAGGCGGCTTGGGGCATTGGCATTGGCTAGCTGCCTGCAACTCGTGCTGCACGTCGTCGCTCATTTCGTGTTGGCTGCAGCGGCCGCCGGCTCAAACATGTATATATATACACATACATATATGCATATAGATACATATTTATGTAGCTGAAGGCAGTTGCTGTTCTTGTTGTTGTTGTTGTTGCTGCTGCTGGCTTTTTACAGCCATTGATTTATCGTGATCTGTTTGGCTGTCGATTTTATGTTGCTGCTGCTGCTGCCGTCGCCTGTTGCTCTACAACAAACAACTGCAACATTTTTTGATACCCTAACTATACAGAGAGCAGCGAATCTAACTTTTGGGTTTACTGATTTGAGTTATAAGTAACAAAGGCAACCTTCTGTGTTACTAAAAATACATTAGAGTTAGATAAAAAGGTTCAATTAATATAAGATTTGCCTACCTAGCTATTTATAACATAAGACTAATCTATCATATAGTTAAATATAAAATTCTTTTATTATAAATATCTTTCATATCATATCTACTAGCTATCTAGATAGAACAGTTCTATATTATATTTGCCCACTTCATCAATCGAATAACTGAGATAGGCACGATCAAAACGAATTCTTTTCATTTAATTTTGGAAAAATTTTGAGCATTGATATTTTGCAATACTAAGCAATATCAATCTCTGATGTATATATTAATAGAGCTATCTTATACATCATATATTTATTTAGAAATTTAGTTTGATCACAGATCTTCGAAGTTATTTTAGGTATTAGGGTATTTTCACTTCGACAAATTGCTGTTAACTCATTTGTCTTGTTTTTATTGTTAAGTGTGTTTTGTCTAGTTTTTTTTATAATTTTTTTTTGTGTTTTGTTTTTTGTTTGCTAAAAATGTTGATTATTGCAAATTGCTTTGGCGATTGGTAGCAGCTACTAAGCTGTTATTGTTGTCTGATTTTGTTGCTGTTGTTGTCGTTAAGCTTGGCAATTGTTCAAATTGTTTTCGATGTGATTATGTTTGGCCCCATCGACAAAGTCTCTCCCCCCCCAAAAAACCATCATATACATATGTATTCAGCTACTGTTGCGATCTATCTGTGTGTGTGTGTGTGTGTGTGTATCTAACGGTGCTGATCTATGGCATGGCTAATTGGCTTTGGGGCTGGGCGCTGCTACTCCTATCGGTTAGACATATGCTAATGGTGTCTATTGTTACGCCTACGCCTCTCAAAGCAAATAAAACTAAGAAACAGACACCAAAAAGGCAAAGCGGCGCGATGATGAAATTTGCATAGATCTAAAGTCAAAAGGAAAGAGGAAAAAAACATAAAATGTTTATCAATGAATGTCGCGCAAATTTGAGACACAAAACATAAAAACCCAAATCGTCACACGATACAAGAACCATTAGGTGAACAACAACGACATCGACAGCACCAACAAAATTATGGTCAAACAAAAATTAGAATAACTGAATAAATGAATAATCCAAAAATATTTTAAACTTGCGTTAGAAATGTTTTTAATCGGTTAGAGTATTGAAAGTCAACATAAATATTTGAAAAGTAGTTGAGGAGTCGACTTGAACTTGAGTAAGTGCATAGCCTAGAGCGAATGCATTATCAGAGATAATGTTTAATGTGAAGTCTAGAGCGCATTTAGACACTTAAGGTTAAGAGTTGGCTTAAGTACGAAATGTTATTGAACTGTTCTTCAAAATATTGCTTAAGATTGAAGATGATAGACAGAAAATAGAAGATAGTGGAGTATATAGTAGAAATAAGATAGAAGCTAGAAGATAACAGATAAAAGAAAGATGACAAAAGCTTCGAACAATAGTAAAAGAAACAATATGGTTCAATATATCTATTTTCCTTAAATACTGTCCATTTAATCAGGTGTTAGAATCATGCTCAACGCTCGTGATATTCGAATTTCATTAATTCTTTAAAGCTCCAAAACTTAATTCGATTAATAATGTATATATTTTTTGTTTGGCATTTAGTAAATTGACTTTTCCCACATAATTAATAACGTACGGCGCTTGGCTGTTTTCTTTATCTTGGCCTCATTAGCAGCTCAATTAAGACAAAGCTATCAAATTGTTAAAACAATCTTTCAATTTGGTCTACACGGTTTTCAGGCCTGCACAAAGACCACCCTCCAAGCGCGACTCAAATCAAATTCAAAGATACAAATCGTATATGCTTAAGGCAATGACAACTAACGTGTTTTTGGATACAAAGATTAAGGCAAACACCTTACCTGTTCACAAAACAAAATAAAGAAGAGACGAAGAGCGTGTCTCATTAATATTAATAAGCCAATAAGCCAATAAGCCAATAAGCTAGGCCTGGCCTAAGCCGAATAGGTCAGAATGTGTAAATGTATCTCTAGCTGGGTAAATCAAACTTTAGGTGTGTTTATGTATATTTAGTATGTTTGGAAATGTATCTGTATCTAAGCAGATAAGATTTGTATCTATATATATATCGTAATCAGTGTCATATACTTCAGCAAATGTATCTGTATCTGTATCTGTATCTGTATCTTTATCTGTATCTGTATCTGTATCTGTATCTGCATCTGCATCTGTATCTGTATCTGTATCTGTATCTGCATCTGTATCTGTATCTGTATCTGTATCTGTATCTGCATCTGCATCTGCATCTGCATCTGTATCTGTATCTGTATCTGTATCTGTATCTGTATCTGCATCTGCATCTGTATCTGTATCTGTATCTGTATCTGTATCTGTATATGTATATGTATCTGTATCTGTATCTGCATCTGCATCTGTATCTGTATCTGTATCTGTATCTGCATCTGTATCTGTATCTGTATCTGTATCTGTATCTGTATTTGTATCTGTATCTGTATCTGTATCTGTATCTGTATCTGTATCTGCATCTGCATCTGTATCTGTATCTGTATCTGTATCTGTATCTGTATCTGTATCTGTATCTGTATCTGTATCTGTATATGTATATGCATCTGTATCTGTATCTGTATCTGTATCTGTATCTGTATCTGTATCTGTATCTGTATCTGTATCTGTATCTGTATCTGTATCTGTATCTGTATCTGTATCTGTATCTGTATCTGTATCTGTATCTGTATCTGTATCTGTATCTGTATCTGTATCTGTATCTGTATCTGTATCTGTATCTGTATCTGTATCTGTATCTGTATCTGTATCTGTATCTGTATCTGTATCTGTATCTGTATCTGTATCTGTATCTGTATCTGTATCTGTATCTGTATCTGTATCTGTATCTGTATCGTATCTGTATCTGTATCTGTATCTGTATCTGTATCTGTATCTGTATCTGTATCTGTATCTGTATCTGTATCTGTATCTGTATCTGTATCTGTATCTGTATCTGTATCTGTATCTGTATCTGTATCTGTATCTGTATCTGTATCTGTATGTGTATCTGTATTCATATCTGTATTCGTATCTGTATTCGTATCTGTTTTTGTATCTGTATCTGTATCTGTATCGCAATTTGTATCTCTATCTATAGCCGTGTCAGCTGCTTGTATTAGGCTCGTAGTTCTTTGATTTGCATATATTAATTGAAATTTTGATTAATTGTTTATATCAATGCTTATGCTAATCTACGCTTACATTTTTAACGCCATTAATTAAGTTGTGCGTATCATGCTTTTATTTTTTGTTGAAATCTTTTTCTGCTTTTGTTTTTGTTGAATGAACATTTTTTACTTTGGTCTTTTTTTGGCAGCTGGCGTTGAGTTTATTAACTTGTTTAATATTTAAATTTGAAGCTTTCTGCGTTTTTCTTTGGCCTATTCGCATTTGTGTTTAATTTTTTTCTTTTTGCTGACAGCAAAAGCGTGCGGTTTATGTTTAAGCATTTTGATTAATTTGCCGTCTTTTGGACCATTACAAACAGTAGCCAAGAAAACAAAAATAAATACAAAAAGAAAAAAAAAAGAAAAACAAATATACAAAGCAGATATCAATTTCAATATTTTTTCGTGGGATTAATTTGTTAAAATGCTAATTAATTTGTCAGGCGAGACACAATGACAACAACAACAACTCGGCCGAGGGGTATAATTTGGGGCGGGCTATGGAATTTATCACATAAGCATTTACAAAATTGTCTGTTGACATTTTTTTGGTAGTTCCATAAAATCTCGAAAAAAATCGATATAAATTGATTAGAAACCATTTAATAAACCATCATGGACGATAATAGGGAGCAAGAGGGTGAAATGCGTTCGAGGCCCGCTTCTATACTACGCGTCAGCGGCAGCTATCGGACCAATCAAATTAGTAATCATCCATCCATAACCATAAATGTGCCAACGGATACCCCCGTCGAACTGGCCGCCAGCAGCGATGCCAGCGATGCTCAGGCTCAGCAGCAGCGTCGCCAGCGTCGCGAGGAGTTCGAGCAGCTGCGCCGGGAGCACTATCACAATATGTTCTCCACTGTCAGTGGAGATCGAATACCGAGGCGGCAGTCATCGGTAGTGCAAAAAGCTCCTAGCGGCCGGGCTTCCTCAACAGGGCCAAATAAATCCACTGCGGAGAAGGAGCTAAATCATAACCGAGAAAATTCACAGAAGAAGGACCAAACCTAGCGTAAGGAATAAAGCATTTGTGAGCGCTAGATACATGCATGATACACAAAAATAAAACGCATCGTAAAACTCGTTTGGAACTTTTTAAATACTCTGCATGCACTTGGTAGAGCAGTATAGTTCCATAAACTTCGAGTTTAGTTCAAGTTCAATTATGGCTGATTTTGTTACATATTCATCAAAATATATAAGGCTTACACAATGTTAATCGCGTTTACAAATTAAAGCGCAGGACCAGCTGTAGCCAGGAGCCTCGCAATATTTAATCCCAGCTAAAGTCTTACATAAAAAGCCATTTATAATGTTGCCAGTTTGCCTAACACTCACCTGGCAAATGCCGCGGGAACAGACAGCTCGCCATTGTTGTTGTTGTTGTTGCTGTTGCTGTTGGGACTGAGACGCTCCCGTTTCACAGTGCTGCTGTTGATGTTGAGCTTCTGTTGTTGATGGTTGCTGCTGCTGTTGGTGTTGCTAACGTTGTTGTTGCTGTTGCTACTGTTGTTGTTGTTGTTACTGCTGCTATTGTTATTGTTGTTGTTGTGCATAGTGACCATGACCGAGGAATCCAAAAAGACATCCTTCAGCGAATCAATCTGTGCGCTCGTCATATGCAACGGCGACAGCTTTTCATGTTTCACTCTATCAAAGTACAAAGCAGCGTAGGCGGCAGCAGCAGCATTAGTTGCTGCTGTTGCTGCGGCTGCCGCTGCTGCAGTTGCTGTTGCCGTGGAGGAGTTTGCTGCGGAGGTATTGGCTGCTGTTGCCGGCGTTGCAGCAGCACTGCTGTTGCCAGTTGTGGCCGTTGCTGCTGCTGCTGCAGCGGCAGTTGCTGCCGTTGTCGGGCTGCTGGCCTCTCGCAGCTGCTTTGAACTGTCGATGGCCCCATAGCCGCTGAGCAGGAGCGAGCGTTCGCTGAGCATGTTTCCACTGTTGCTGCTGCTGCCGCTGAGCAACTGTTGCTGCTGTCGCAGATCGCTGGCGAGCCGTTCGAGATGCTTGCGCTTGGTGGCCGCCGCCGCGGGCAAAGAGTTAAATTGTTGCGCCTGCTCCTCGTTTTGGTGTTTTGCTGGCGTGGCCGTCGTTGCCTTCGCGGGCTTCTGTTGCAGTATGTCTGTGGGCGTGTTACCTGCACGAGTGCGAGAGAGAGGGAGAAAGAGTGGAGCGTGTGTGAGCGAGAGATTGTTGCTAATGGATCTATGGGAGGTGCGCTGCACTTAGCTTACTAAAAACTTTCGCTTCATATTGAGCTGGCAATTAGATTGTCAGAAATCGATTCGAAATATCGCGTCCGATTCTCAGTCCGAGTCGGAGTCGCTTAGGGTTCACTTAAGTTCGGTGCGGTTCGTTTGGGCTTGGCTCGCATGCAAATCGGCCAAAGGTTAAAATAACTTATAATATGTTAACAAAACCGTTGACCTGCAATGTTGAACCCCTAAGCTAATTATCGGGGTGAGCGTCGAGTGCAAAGCCGAACAGAATGCCAGCAAATGGCGACGCACTCTTACAACAACAACAATGACAACAACAACTATGACAACCACAACAACAACTACAAAGTACAACACACACATTTGTCATAGGCTCAATTTACAATTAATTTACAATTACATTTAGTTTTTTCTTGCAAAGCCCCATTGAATTTCTAGATACGTTTTTTAGTAAACAAATAACTAGAATTGATTCACATTCAGAGTTATTATAAGCTTAACGTTTACGAATGGGATGCAAAGGAGAATTGATTTATAAAATATACTGCTTCCAGACAGATGCTGAGAAAGGTTGAAAGAGCGTTCGAGAAAGAGAGAGAGAGAGAAGCGAGTGAGGTAGAGTATAAATGAGAGAGAGACAGAGAAAGTGTAAAGACAGAATATGAGTAAGAGAGACAAAGAGAGAGAGAGAGAGAGCAGGAGATACGAGCTCTTGAGTTTGTGTATTTCATGTTGATAAAATTATATAGTAGTATTTACTGGTAGAAATTTTATCAACTTGCATAATTAAATAATATTATAAAAGAATCTCTTCTATCGAATGACATCAATTACTTGAATAGCTAAATTCATATATATTTTCATTTCATTTATAGTCAATCCAAAATAAAATTTATTTACTGCCTTGAAAGATTTGAGATTTTATATTTAGCTTTATTGAAGTCTCATCTTTGAATATTTTATTCACGGCATTAAAAAAGATACAATTATTTCAATCGAAACTTTAGTGTACTCAGATCTTTCGCCAATGTTGGGCTCTATTCTGAAATAAATCATTTTCGAGAGTTTGGAAAATCCATATCTAGGTCGATCTTGAGAAATCTTAAATCTTTCTGAGTACCTAACCGATACGCCCATTCCATACTATTATAGCGCGCACATCATACACACACACACACACACACTGCTGACCGCAGTGGCATACATTGAACTTTATGGTGCGGTTGAAGCTTCCGTCGCGCCCATCGCACAAATTGTTTATTTACATTGCGCGCACACATTTCTTCACATTCCCTACGCAGTTCTCCCTCTCTGCCTCCATCCTTATCTGCTTTCCTATATCTATCATAAATAATATAATTGTAATTTAACTGGCAGAAATTAAAAAGCAAACAGAAACTTCAAACGTTGACCTTTGAAAAGGATTGAAACTCGGGAAGTTGCTGGAGTAGGGCTGAAGACCAGGTGTAAATTGACATACACACGCAGCAGCAGCAGCACCAACAGCGGCAGCAGCATAAATAATAAAACGAAATATTTACAGGTAAAATTAACAACAATTTGTAGCTGAGGATCGTTAGGATCGGCCAGAGAACCATTCGAAATTGGTAATCGCAGCAGTAACCAAACCAAACATCAGAAACCAGTTGTGAATTTTTAAATCCAGCTCTGGGCACCCCTGCGGACTGTGTGTGTATCAAATGTCCACATACCCATACGCATTATAGCGTGTAAATATGGTATATGGTATAAAGTTTTGCGGGTCTTATCATAAAGTTTAGTTTATCATTAGTTAGCACTAAAATTAAGTTGTGTTGATTTTCGCTTCATAGAAACGTCTAGCCACAGTGGAGCGACTGAGGTAAAAAGTGGATTAAAGAATAATCTAGTTGAATTTAGTTAAATTCATTTTTTTATTATATTTAAATAAACATTTCTGTGTAATTCTTATCTCAAACTAACTTAAAAGTTGCCGAGAGCTTTTTAATAAATTTCTTACATTTATGGAAAAGTACTTTTAATTCAGATAGAACTTGCCATTAATTTACATTGTTAATTCTTATAGATCATCTATATACTGGTTTCTTCATTCGAAATCTTCAATAAGTCATACAGTTTGAAAGGCTTAACTCTCTTTATATGCATCACTCATCATTATTGTGTAGACCGAAGTTCCACCCACTTCACAATCTGAAACTGCGCATAATTTACTGCTCGACCCACTGTATATACGTATCGTCTCTGCCGCTCACTTCCCCCACTCTCTGCGGCTGCCCCTCACCTGAACTGAGGCTGGCTGATTGGCATCGCGCTTGGTGCCAATGGTGCTAAGTGCCGAATGCCGAATGTCGAATGTTGAGAATGTCGTCGAATGTCGAATGATGTCGGGTTACAGCAGAAAGCAGAGGAACCTTAAACCGTCGACCGCATAGAGTCTATATAGAAAACGTTTCGAGACTGTAGATATAGAGAGACTCTGTGAACGTAGAGCTCCGGCAATGCGCGTCGTTGGACAACGGAGGCGAGACATGCGCCATGCGATCCGCTGTTGACTTTTCCAGTTGGGGCTTATGCTGCTTTTTTCACTCTTTTAAGGCATCCAATGGGAATGGGAATTGGGTAACATATATATTAAAATATACTTGATTAGATCAACTGTTGAGTCATCCCCAACTTCTTTCTCTTTGCCATAAGCTAGTCTCTAGACTCTGCTATATTCCATATATATTATATATAAAGTTGTATTCCTTCGTCAGTTTCTCATTGTTTGTATAACTGATCTGGGAATGGATTGCATATCCAACTAAAGACTTTTCAAGCTCTGTCCCTGAAGAATTTCATGCACTATGCAAAATTGTATCTTTAATAAATCTGAAAAGTCTATAGAAATATATAAGTTCTATAGAAAGTTAAGCTATCTTTGCAAAGAGTCTAGAAACTCTTATAAAATCTTAAAGTTCTAGTCTCTCTCTCTCTTGTACGGCTGGTATATAGCGCATTTAAGAGTCGTCATGCCGAGCCAAGATTTGTTTTTGCTTTTATCAGACTAATCGCATGGCAGTGTATGAGGTGTGTTTGTGTGTGTCGAGTGTGTGTGTGATCTGCAGAGTGACAGGCCGCATGTTGGGTCGACAAGTGTCAATAGTACTAATAGACTAACGCGACTTTGGGGCTAGGCTTTTGGCTCTTTGGATAGGCCAGACCGTAGCCGTTGCCGAAGACGGAGCCGTGTCTGGGCACGTTCTACGTTTTTTTCTTGAAAAAAACGAAAACACAACGGTAAAGTTCATTGCCATTTGGCTGTTTGGCTTTTGGGGCACGTCACGCTGTCCCCTCTTTAGCTGCGCTAGCCTAGACTACCCGCCCCTGTAGAGCGTCCCGCTCTCTGCAACGTGACGTTGGCAAACACAGCTGCCGACCCACAGTCGCAGCAAAAGTTGTCGTTGTCGTTGTCGTGTCGTTGTCGTTGACGTTGTCATGTGACCATTTTTCATAGACCTACCTCGCATAATTGTGCACTGATACTTGGTTGGGGCTGTAATTTGATTTGGATTTGATAAATAGAGAGATCTTAGCAGCTGCCTTCAATGCCTCGATGGGTCAGCTATAAACATATGAAGTCTAAACGAGCCTAACCTTGAAGGCAAAGAAAGAAAAGAAAACAAAACTATGTACGACTCGGCCGCAATTTGACTTTCAAAGGCGGGCCACGAGTTCGAGTCGGGGCGTTAAAATTATACATACACACACACACTCAGCTACAGTAATACACATATATATATATGTACTGAGCTTATCAGCTTTTGACCTCATTTAAAAACCAAATAAAACGCAACGCTCGAGAGCAAATAGCGCCCCAGCGATTTATGCGAACTTTGAGACGAGTCACATTTACTGAATTCAACGCCTTATCACCTCCCAAAGGGGGCATAGGGGGAGGGCAAGCGGGACAGGGGCGGGGAAAAGCGAGATGTGGGGAAAAATAGTTTCAACTTTGTGCTTTGCGCACACAATGACAAACTGAAGTTCCATAGATTGTTACTATATAGGCTCTCCGATCTAAATGAGTTGGATAACGAGTTGGGGATAATATGTTAATAGAATATATATATTATATATTCCTTGGGCTACTACAATGGAAAATATAATTTATGAAAGGTTTCAATATTAATTTAATGATTAGAAATGTTTTTGAAATTAAAGCAAAATATTCAAAAAAAAGATTTTCTTTGCTTTAAGTTAGCTTAAATTTAATTTTAATTTATTCTCTGATTTTCTAATTTATTATTTCAACTAAAATAACATAAATAGCAACATTTTCAATATCAAATAGCCTAATATATAGCTAAGCATTTCGTTTGCTAAATAGTTAAAACAAAATCACGACATAAATTACAAAGAAATTTGGCCAAACCCCATATTAGAACAGATCTTTGGGAAATTGAAAGAGATAAAGATATAAATTATGGCTGTACTGATCTAAAGAGACAAGAGTGGCAGCTACACCAATAGTTTGCTCTCTGTTTTTCAGAGAGTAGAAAAGATCAGCTGGATTATCAAGGAAGGCATTGACATACCTCACATTCACCTTAACTATATACCTATACTCATGTTATCTATACCTTGATAATATATATGTATATTATTTTATTTATATACTTTGTTAATATATCTATAATGACTTAATAATAACAAGACAATTTCCATAGATCCAGAAACTTATTTTAAATTATTTTTATTATTTTTGTCTTTTCAATTTCCACATGGAAATTCCCAATTCCAATTCGTTCGTCATCATAAAGATAAAGAATTTTTATTATTGTTTTTCTTTTTATTTTTGACTTTTTCTTGGAGTTGTTTTTCATGCAAACATCATCATCTGATAAATGATACAACATGGAAAATAAACAATTTTTGG